TGCGTTCGGTGTGAGGCGGAAGATCGAGGGGGCCTTCATGGCGGAGAGTCAGTCAGCGGCCGGGCTGGGGGACTTCACATCCCTTGGTGGGGCCGCGGCTCTCGGCTCAGAACTCGAAACCCGGCGGCTGAGCGAGCTGCGAGTTATAGACCTGCGGGCCGAACTCAAACGCCGTAACCTAGACAGTGGCGGCATCAAGAGCGTTCTCATGGAGCGGCTCAGGAAGGTGAGGCGCAAACCCGGCCCGTGGGTGGGGGTGGGGAATGTCATCCGGGTCCTTTGTCCCCGGCCCGAGGGCGCATGCGCGCTCGTGATCTAGCCCGGGGTGCCGCGGGAGGCCCTGAGGGAAGCGGAAGCTGGTGTGCGGAGCGGAGGCGCGCCGCTGTGTCCCTCGGCTGCTTCCCAGCGCTCGTCCCGGCACTAGTGTGCCCCTTTCCTTGGACCGCTGTAGAGCCGTTGCGCTTGCTGGGTCCGCCGGCAGGAAGGCGCTGCACTCTTTCTGCTATCGCCCTGAACCCCCCGGCGGAGACCCGCGCCGCTCGCTCACTCTCCAGCGTGTGGGCACCCGCGCCGCCTGCCGCGCCTCATCCGTTCGCTTGGAGCACTACTCTAATTTCACTCCGCGGTGGCCCCGGTTTTTCCCTCGTTCTCTGTCTCTGACGTACACGCGGCCTTCCCCAGTTTCCTCTCGCGTTCCCCCAGCATGTACACGCACGGCCCTTTCCCCTATCTTTTCTCTTATTCCCTGTGTACGCACTTCGCCTGACTCCCTGTCTCCCACCTTTCCAGAATGTGTTTTCACAGACTTCCATGAGACCAGAATAGCATAGTCGGTCCTGATTCTTTTATGGGTTCTAATAGGCCTGCACGTTGAGAAAAAAGTACTGTTGGATGCGCTTGGAGTTCCTGTAGCAGTCACTCAGTTTTATACAGATAAAGTGCTTATCTGCTGAGGAGGAAGCCTCGTTTACAAATCAGGGGAACTTTGCTCCTCAGTCGTAGCTTGATTTGGCTGTGGGGTTGTGTTCCAATGCCTTAGTATTCAGTGTTTCTAACAGCTGATATGGCAGCCCAGCTGTATCACCTGAACTAGGGTGAGACACTAGTGTTTCTGTCTGCCAAATCCTTTAAAATGCGGTCATCGCTTAACCCCACTAGGCAGCTGAGCACCACATGGCCACTCACTCACCCGCTTCCCCCAGCAGGTTGGTGGGGAGAATTGGAACAGTAAAAGTGAGAGAAAACTTGTGGGTTGAGATAATGATTTTAAAAAATTGAAGGCCAAAAAAACCAAACAGATGAGGAAAAGGAAAAAAAAACACCCAAGAAAAGCAAGTGATATAAAAGAAAACAACTGCATGCCGTCAACTGACTGATGCTGAGTCATTCCCCAGGTAATGGCAGCCCCACTGACTTCCACTCCCGCCAGTTTTATTGCTGAGCACAGCATCATATGGTCTGGAATATCCCTTTAGTTGATTGGGGTCTGCTGTCCTGCCTGTGTCCCTAGCCCCCCCCAGCCTGCTTGCTGGCAGGGCAGGGTGAGGAGCAGAAAAGGCTTCAACACTTTGTACACACTCCTTAGCAATAAATAAAACATCCCTGTATTATCAACACTGTTTCCAGCACAAATTCAAAATACAGCCCCATACAAGCTACCAGGAAGAAATTTAACTCTATCCTATCCAAAACCAGTACAAATGCACACCAACAAACAATACAATGGATGTCATGCTGCTGTCTCCAATAGGCTATTGAGGATGAAGGAGGAGATCCTGATGAAATTCCTGTGGCCTCAGAACTGACCAACAAGAGAATGCCAAAAAGAACTAGCAAAGGTACAGAGTTTAGACAAATACAGTTCCTTTGTTTCCGTTTAGCTAGAACTTAGCATACAATGTTGATTTCTTCTGTTTCATTAGTTTATTTTTTAAAAAGTGCTTTTTTCCCATATGGAAAATGGTAAAACTCTGTTGTGATAGTGAGCAATAACAAGTTTAAATGATAACGTGACACCTAACCTTACTTCCTTTAGCAAGTCTTGAAAGCTGTAGATGAGACACTGAGTTGCAGGGTTATGTATTTGCAACTGTGAGTACAGAATTGTGTCAGGTACAGAGCAAGCAGCTGCAGCGTAAGCTCCTGTGGAAGGCTCTGCCAATGTATGTTAAGGTGGCTCCACAGCATGCTGGGTACTAATTTCCTTGCTGTAACTGTAGATTTTGCTTTTTTACATTGAAGCCCTTGAACCTGCATCATCATTGGGGTACATTTTTAGATGCAAGAAATTACAGTAAGAATAATTGGAACCATTGTCACACAGACAACAAATGTATAACTTTTGTTAGTGTCATATTTCATTTTGTAACTGTCCGTTTTGAAAAAAACCTGTTCTGAAATAGCTCATTATGATTTTGGTTCAAAAACGTTAAATACTATGTTGGCCATGTTACATGTGGTTTATTTGAATTGCTCAGAGTGAGTTCTAAAAAAAAAAAAGTTGTTTTTGAATAGCAATACAAGTTTGCTGGTGACAGATGTGCCTAAATGTGATTTGTGTGTTCAAGATGTTAAAAGTAAAGACTAATTCTAAATCAGTTTATTTAAATGCTGAGGGAGGTTTTTTTATGACAACAATTGATGTTTCTTTTAAATGGAACACCTTCCTAGACAGTGTTGTTGTCTTAGGTATTGGAGTATTGCAGAATGAGAGAAGTGTAGCTGTTCAAAAATGTAGCTGTGCTGCCTCATGCCGTTCGCTTGTATCGAGTGGCAAGTCATCCTTCATTATATAGAGACAGACCTGGACTTGTGAACCAGGGTCTTAATGATTATTTGTTGAAAAAAACCCTCAGTGTTGAATAGCTAATTCAGCAAAGAGTAGATATGTTATGAAATTTACTACTGTAGCTCACTTCAGTGATAACTCTTTTTAGGAAGAAAGCCAGAAGAAGAAGGTGTTGAAGACAATGGACTAGAAGAAAACTCTAGAGATGGGCAGGTAAGTGAAATCATGATTTCTGTTCCTAGCAATGTGCATCATTTACAATAAATAATACTGTAATTAATACAATAAATATGTATCTAGCCTTTTTCTTTCTATAGGAGGATATTGAAGCAAGTCTGGATACCTTGCAAGATATTGACATGATGGATATTAGTGTGTTAGATGAAGCTGAAATAGATAACGGCAGTGCTGTAGACTGTGGAGAAGACTATAGTCCTGATAATATTCTTGATTCTCTGTCTGATAATAAAGAAAATGTCGAAGCAGAAATGAAAGAGCTTCCAGATCAATTAACAGAAAATGAGGTAAGTAGAGGTCTTTGTAAATTTTCAGAAGGTATTTAGTAAGTATATGGGCATGTGAACAAGTTATTTCAGTGTAATAGAATATTGGACATGAATGTGATACGGATTGTATTTCACATTAACAGATCTTATGTCCTGCTGTTTTAAGTGGTAAATGTTCTTGGACCTATCAAAAGCTTGAAATGTTCGCAGCAGAGGAGTGAATTTGAAAGTAATGTCTTAGGTGTTCCTTCTTCCCATTTATATGTGTTTAAGTAAGTAAACGCATATACGCAGCCATCTAGATATTTATAGATATGCAGAGAGAGAGAAATGTATTTTCAACTCACAGATAACTTGGAAATCTTTTCTGCAGAAATAATGCTCTGGTTTAAAGAATCTGTGTTGTACAGTTTTCTCATAGAGATTAATAAAACAAGAAAATCTATGCATTGTGTATCGCCCTGTTCTGACATTGTTATCTTTTGACTTAGTTTTGAGAGCAACTTGCAATGTCTTTTACAGACAGCACAGTCTCTCGCTACTGAGTGAACAGGGTAGTCTCTTATGTTACGGTCACTCCCCAAATATTATCCTTCCTTGGATCCCTGTGGGTTTTTTATTTTAGGTTGTTCACTCCCAAAGCAGAATCAAAGAATCATAGAGTAGTTTGGGTTAGAAGGGACCTTTAAAGGTCATCTAGTCTTGGCAGGGACTTCTTCAACTAGATCAGGTTGCTCAGAGCACTTTCCAACCTGACCTTGAATGTTCCCAGGGATGGGGCATCTGCCACCTCTCTGGGCAACCTGGGCCAGTGTTTCACCACCCTGAGTGTAAAAAAATGTTTTCCTTAGATCTAGTCTAATTCTCCCCTGTTTTAGTTTAAAGCCATTCCCCCTTGTCCTATGGTGACAGACCCTGCTAAAAAGTCTGTCCCCATCTTTCTTATAAGCCCCCTTCAAGTACTGAAAGGCTGCAATGAGGTCTCCCCAGAGCCTTCTCTTCTCCAGGCTGAGCACCACCAACTCTCTCAGCCTGTCCTCACAGCGGAAGGGCTCCAGCCTTCGCAGCATCTCCGTGGCCTCCTCTGGCTCAGCTCCAAAGGTCCATGTCTTTCCTGTGCTGAGGGCTCCAGAGCTGGAGGCAGCATTGCAGGTGGAGTCTCACCAGAGCAGAGTAGAGGGGCAGAATCTCCTCCCTTGCCCTGCTGGCCATGCTGCTGGCAATGCAGCCCAGGACGGTTGGCTTTCTGGG